GCTTCTGCAAACATCCCTGATGCGCTGCAAGCAATAAGCTATAAGCTGCGCTATAAGCAAGTCAAACTTATCGAAACATGTTATAACCATATCTATTCTTGATATTTCACCAGAAAAATTATTTATATTTCACCAGGAATGCCCGACGGGGATGGTGGATGAGGAGTCCTTCAAGAATATATTCTCGCAGTTCTTTCCAATCGGAGGTAAATAAACACTAGCGGGTATAAACTCAATTCTAGGAATGATTTCAAAAATCCTAATTACGATATTTAATATCATCAACCTTTGCTGATTACTGTACATTGTATCACAATACTAACTTTTGCCGGCGCTTTCGTCCGCATTGAACAGCTTATGTTCCTCAGTGGTAATAGGTATTTCTTTCCAATGGCAAAATCATTTCCCCTACCTTATCCTTTCGTAGGGTCGGCACTGTTTTCTTCCTCCAAATAACCCTATCATACGTCATCTCAGTCATCACTCCCTTCTTCATGTCTCTTTCTATGTCTACCTCTACCGGTGTACCACACTCATAATTAACGTATTTCTTGTTACATGCGATTCTAATCTTACTAATATTATAAACGAGCTGTTGCCCGCGACTTCGTCCGCGTGGTATTAGAAAACATACAAACTATATAAATTACAGAAAGTTACGTATCCCTCGGGAACCGGACAACTCGGGGATGAAGCTTATCCCATGAGTACTCCAGATTTTGTTTTACATCTGTGCCAAATTTTAATCAGATATGTTGAACCGTTGCAGAATGATCGAGTGAACATTAAAAAACTAAATGAATGAATCCCACGGGAACCGTAACTATTCCCGGGATAATAAGTACCCTATGTGTTCTTCCAGACTATGCTTTAAACCTGTGCCAAATTTCATGGAGATCCGTTCAGCCGTTTAGGCTACAAACGCTAACAAACATTCATCCATCCATCCATCTAAACTTTCGCATTTATAATATTAGTAAGGTTTGTAGTTTAGGTTGAACGAATCTTAATGAAATTTGGCACAGATTAGAACATAGCCTGGAAGAACACAAGATAACTTAGTCAGTTTTTAAATTCTGCGCGGACGGAGTCGAGGGCGAAAGTTAGTTTGTTAAATAAAAATATTACTAATCAGAATTAGATGAATCAGTTACGACCTATAACAAGATCAAATCAATATACTCGTATACATTCCATGCTATCTTAGTGTAGATTTAAATGTTTAGGAAACCTAGGTAATGTTATTTTTCTAAGTTACTGACATGCGTGACCATTAATCATTTAATTAAATAATACGTAAATTACTATTATAGATTTACTAGTTTTCCCCCGCGACACTGTCCACGTAAAATTAAATTAAAACAAAAGCGAGTAGCCTATGTGTTCTTCCAGACTATCCTCTACATCTATACCAAATTTCATCGAAATCCGTTCAGCCGTTTAGGCTACAAACTCTAACAGACATCCATCCATCTAAACTTTGACATTTATAATATCACGAGCTGTTGCCCGCGACTTCGTCCGCGTGGTATAAGAAAACATACGAACTATATAAATTAAAAAAAGCTACGTATCTCGGGAACCGGACATTTCTCTGGGATGAAACTTATCTCATGTGTACTCCACACTTTGTTTTACATCTGTGCCAAAATTCAATAAGATATGTTGAACCGTTGCAGAATGATCGAGTGAACATTAAAAAACTAAATTAATGAATCCCACGGGAACTGTAACTATTCCCGGGATAAAAAGTAGCCTATGTGTTCTTCCAGACTATGTTCTAAACCTGTACCAGTGGTAGTGCCCGCTTTAACATCTTAGCACGAATAGGCCGGTACGCCCGGTGTAATACCACGACCACACAGAAGACAGCCGTGAAATGGAAGCAATTCCATGTTTCGTCTGATGAGTGTGGTGCCGGAGACCTAATTTAAGTCTCTTTCTCTTTCCCACCTTTTTCTTATAAGGAGAGGTTGGGAAGAGGAAGTGGATTTGACGGTGGAGGAGATGCGTAGGAAGGGGAAATATCCTCTTTATGTGCGTCTCCTCCTCCGTCGTATAAGGGTAGGCAACGCATCTGCAATTGCGGATGTCTATGGGCAGCGGTCGCTTCGCCATTTTGGCGGTTTCAGGTGGCCGCTTGCTCGTTTGCCACCTTATGTTATATATATACCAAAATTCATGGAGATCCGTTCAGCCGTTTAGGCTACAAACGCTAACCATCCATCTAAACTTTCGCATTTATAAGATTAGTTTGGTTATATATCTTTGTATTGTATGTTGTACAGACGCGACTCAGTACGCGCACTACGTGTTCAACACTGTCAAACATAAGCAAAGGGGGAAACTTAATTTTGAGGTAAGAAGTACTGTACACACTTTGTACTTATACGTCACGTATCTATACATATATACAATCGGAGTGTCTGTTATATCAAAAGAAAAATTCCAGATTTCTTGAAAATCGATCCATCTATTCGTCCCGACCGAGGGGCTCGGAGCCTACCCTAAAGTTAGGGTGATTAGGCCATAGTCAATATACTTGAAGATAATGTCAATAAAATCGCATTAAAAAAAATGTCTTTCACTGAAGATTATTATTATTTTAATGGTAGAAGGCATAGTCGGGAATATTATAGGCTACTTTATTTTTAATACTGCATGAGGAAGTCGCGGGCAGCAGA